GGCCGCGACCAGGGCGCCGTGGCCGGGGGGGTGCCCAGCCCCTGCTACGTCCTGCTGGACCTCTACGGGCAGTGCCAGCAGGTGAGGGGCACCCCAAAAACCGGGCACCCCAAAAAACCCCAAAAAACCCCAAAAAACCCGAAATTCTGGGAGCCGGAACGACCCGAAATCCAGAAACCCCAAAAATCCCCCTCAAAACCCCCAATGGGCACAGCTGGGCACACCTGGACACAGCTGGGCACACCTGTGGGGCCTCTACGGGCAGTGCCAGCAGGTGAGGGGCACCCCAAAAACCGGGCACCCCAAAAAACCCCAAAAAACCCGAAATTCTGGGAGCCAGAAGCCCCAAAAATCGGGAAAAAAAACCCCTAAAATCGGGGGAAAAAATCCCCTCAAATCCAACCCTTGGGACACCCCCAAATTCCCAGGACCCCCCAAAATGTGGCTGGGACCCCCCCAGAAAAAGTTTTGGGACCCCAAAATGGGTCTGGGACCCCCCAAAAAGTCTCTGGGACCCCCAAAAAACTCCCAAGAACCGCCCAAAATTGGTGAGGGACCCCCAAAATGGGGTCAAGGACCCCCAAAAAATCCCTGGGACCCCCCCCAAGAAAGTTTCAGGGACCCCCCAAAAATGTGTCTGGGACCCCCAAAAAGGATCTGGGAGCCCCGAAAAATTGTTTGGGACCCCTCAAAAGGGTTTGGGGACCCCAAAAAAGGATTTAGGACCCCAAAAAAGGGCTTGGACCCCCCCAAAGGGGTTTGGGGACCCCCAAAATGGGGTCCAGCCCCACCAGAATGTCCCAAGAACCCCCAAAATTGGTCAGGGACCCCCAAAAAGAGTCTGGGACCCCCAAAAAACTCCCAAGAACCCCCCGAAATCGGTCCGGGACCCCCAGAAAAGGGTTTGGGACCCCCCAAAGGAATTTGGGGACCCCAAATCCGGCCCAGCCCCCCAAAATCTCTCCCCCCCCCCCCAGGTGACGATCGTGGCCGAGGGTCCGGCCGGGGGGGGCTCCCCCAGCGGGGACCCCCGAAATCGGGGGGACGTGGAGAAAGCCGACGTGGTGGACGGTGAGGGCACCCCGAAATTTGGGGTTTGGGGGGGCTGGGACCCCAAAATCCGGGATGGGACCCCAAATGTTTGGGGGGGCTGGAACCCCAAAATCTGGGATTTGACCCCGAAATTTGGGGGTTTGGGGGGGCTGGGACCCCAAAATCTGGGATGGGACCCCAAATTTTTGGGGGTTTGGGGGGGCTGGAACCCCAAAATCCGGG